CCAGAATGTACAAAAACTCCTACAACTCAACAACCAAAAGAAAAACGACCCAATTTTAAAAAGTACAAAACACTTTAACAACAATTTATCCCAAGAAGATACACAGATGGCCAACAACCATATGAGAAGATGCCAAAATCATTAGTCCCTAGAGACGTGCATTTCAAAATCACATGAGACACTTGACACCCACTAGGATGGTTATAATCCCAAAAAAGGGATGGAGATGGGGAAACAATAAGTGTTGTTGACAATGTGGAGAAATTGGATCCCTGAACATTACTTGTGGACTATAAAATGGTTCAGCTGCTGTGGAGAACAGTTTGGTGGATTTTCAAAATATTAAACATAAAGGCATCATATGACCCTGTTATTCCACTCCTAGGTGTAGATCCAAAATAATTGAAAAGAGGTACTCGAACAAACACCTGTTCATTGATGCTTGCAACAGTATTATTCACAATACTCAAATGGCTGACATAATCCCATATGTCCATCTGCAGATAAACAGATAAATAGTATATACATGCAATGTAATATTATTCATCCAGAAAAAGGAGTGAAGTACTTATACATGCTTCAGTATGAATGAACCTCAAAATCATTATACTAAGTGAAAGGAGACTGACACAAAAGCATACATTTATGTGAACTATCCAGAACAGGTAAATACATAGACACAGAAAGCAGACTGCATGTCAGGGCTGGGAGGAGGCAAAAAAGGTGGAGTCGGGAGTAACTGCTTAAAGTGCATAGGGTTTTATTTTGGGATGATTGTTCACTTTAAAATAATTAAGTTGGCCAGGCTCAGTGGCCTAGCCCGTAATCCCAGCACTTTGTGAGGCCACAGTGAGAGTGGATTGCCTGAGCCCACGGGTTCAAGACCAGCCCGGGCAACTTGGTGAGCTCTCATCTCTACAATAAATCAAAAATTAGCCAGGCGTGGTCGTGCGCACCTGCAATTCTGGCTACTCAGAAGGCTGAGGCAGAAGGATCGCTGGAGTCCAGCAGCAGGTCAACACCGGGTTGGCCGTGAGCGTGCCACCACACTCCAACCTGGAAAACGGAGTGAGACTCCAACTCAATAAACAAACAAACAAACAAATAAAATAAAATAATTAATTTTATATAACATAAATATTGCCTCAGTTTTTCTTTTAAGACATCACAACAAATCCTACAAAAGTTTCAAGAATAATAAGTATTGGGGGAGTGGGAAAATATGGGATATGTTGCTCCAAGGGTACAAACTTTCAGTTATGAATAATTTCTGGGTATCTAATGTACAGCATGGTGACTTTAGTAGCTAAAACTATGTTATTTAGTTGAAATTTGATAAGGGAGCAGATTTCAAGTGTCCTCTTTACAAATTGACCCCTTCTACACACATACAAGTTCTTGGACTTGTAAATAATAAGACAAAGTGTACGCTTTACCATATTTATTTCTGAAGTTGGAGAGGAGTATAAATAATAACATTTATTGTTTCTGAGCATATAACTCAGCATAGCATAGCCATTCTTTGGAATCACTTGGGATAATTTAATCAAAAATGTACACATCAATATATGTATACACCTACCTTTTTAAGTAAATGGAATCAAGCAGATATATTTTGCATTCATTAATTTTAGCTGTCAAACGTATTGATGTAAAATTGTGTATATTTTTCAGCTTTATTGCTGTATAATTGACAAATAAAAATTATATATTCAAAGTGTACATGATAATTTGATATACATACACAATCGAATTAGCACATCTATCACCATCCATATTTTCTCTCTATAAATACACAAATGAATATATAGATTATAGATATATAGATATAGAGATATAAGACATAGACATAGACATAGACATAGACAGACATACAGAGAGTTCAGGGTTAGCATTTTCCCTGGAAAATGAGAGCACAGGGAATCATGGAAATTGGTTGAAAAATAAGTGACCAGAAGACCATGGCATCAGAGCTGGCTAAGGAAAGAAATAAAGGCTGTGGAAGCATGGTGATGTTCAGAGAGGAAATAGAGGGGACAAGCCATGGATTTCATGGTTCTTGTCCACAGATGAACTCAGGTAGCTCAGAGACCCTGAGTTGAGCCACACACTGTGATTGATGTATAACACGTGAGACCATCTCTATTCTGCACAATGAGGCTAAGAAGCGCTCAGTATGTGCTGGGGGCCAGCCCCTGCAGAGAGATTTAGGGGTTCCCTTAGAAGGTGTGGCAGTGTCGGCAATTCTGTAGGGATAGATATTAAAAGAAAGAAAGAGTCTGGGGGAGAAAGAAAGAGACTGGACTCTGTCTAGTGCAGAAGCAGTTTTATTGGAAGTTACAGCGGGTGTTTATCCCCAAATTTTACACAGACAGTCTCACAAGTCTTTCACGTGAACACAAAACCAGGTGCAGGAGGGGCGTCCCCCAGCCACCAGATGTTTTCTCAGGTATGAGGAAGGACAAACCCCAAAATTGTCTTATTGTTCCCTATGCTAGTTAATGTTCCTCAAAAGCAATGCAACAATCCCTACTAGCATCATGATGTTCTGATAATCAATAACTTCTAAAGCTCATGTGTACACAACACCCATGATGACTAACTTAAATCTTATTACCTTTCTATTCTATGCTAACACTACTTACACAATTGCTATGGAAGCTCTTAATTATAGCTTAAACCAGTTCCTAAAGAATGTGGCCCAGTCCAAAGATCACGCTGGGCTCTTTAGGATGTGGCCCAGTCCAAGGTTCACAGTGGGCCACTTCTTGGAACAATTGATTACAATCTCTTAACAAAATGGCTATTCTAAGATCCTATATATCAATCCTAATTTCTATAAAAGTTTCTAATTCTTAATCCTAATATATAAAGTTGATCATCAGCAATAAAGCTTCTAAAAATAAAACCCAAATATAACTGTAAATGTACTAAAGCCAAAACCACAATAGTAGAAAATGGAGACAATGAAATTTCTAAAGTTAACTGTATCCTTATTAAACCTCAAAATATCATGATTGATCATGCTTGAACTAACATGATTCCCTGACGTAGCATGACCTATTCTACAATGTTTTCTATGAATAAAATAAATTCAATTTTTATAATAAGTAGAAAAACCCTATACTAACTGTAGCTAAAACTGGTCTAAAATAATGCAACCCAGTCCAAAGTACGTGCTGGGCCCTCAGGAATGTGGCCCAGCCCAAAGTTCGTGCTGGGCCATTTCTGGTAACTCTAGATAATCATCTATACCATCTAAAGCTGAAAACAGCTCTCCATATGTATATACTAATTCTACAAATAGGTACTTTAAAATCTTATAAAGAGGCTTGTACCATGCAAAAGGCTCCCAAATGTGACCTGAGTTTGAAATATATCTAATACCTAAGCCGAAACCGCAGTTCATGGGAAACAGGAACAATGAGTTTCTAGAGTGAGCCATGCCTGTCACAGTCACAGAGCCTTCAGTTCAGGTCAGCAGAGTTCCTTTAGGTTATTTGCACTACATGGTAAAAGGAGGAGGAAATGGGGTCAACGGCTCCCGAACATATCCTAGTGGTCTCCGGGTCCATGGTCCTCCCTGATCCCTAACACTCAGTGGGCCTCTGTGGCCGGCTCCCAACAAGTATGGTCTTTGCTCCTAGGTAAGAAGACAGATATTAAAGAGGTACTGGTGCTTATCTTTGACCATTAAGGCACTACACGAAAGAACAAAGTTGCCATTCTTCTTTATGTAATGGCAACTATCCCCTTAGCTCATAGTTTTAAGAAAGTCATACTCCAGCACACGGCTCCCCAATGTCCATATGCATAAAGGATTAAAAAGTGGCAAGTAGTTAGGAAATAACTGATACCAAATATGCAAGTAGAGGCATAGTCTATAAGCTGGTGGTACCTCACCTACATCATGCTTTATAGGATCATTAACTTGAAAAATTTATACTGCTGTTGTTTTAATGTCACAAAACATGCCTGCTTATTGTCTAATGTGCAAGCGTGACATAAGTGTGAAAAATACACTGTGCAAATGTCCTGTTCAACTCTTGTCTGCAGTTTGGAATTACTAAGTGCCAGTTTCTGAGAAAGGTCTCACCAAACTTATTATAACTGGAGATTATTTGCTTCTGTTGTTTGTTTGGAGGTGAAAATAAAAGGCTACACATCCTCAAGAACAGGGACATGGGAGCACCAATGTCAGCTGTCTGAGGAATGTGCTGGGCAGCTAATCTGGCTCTCCCTCCCACTGCAGGTGAGACTCCTCCTGGCACAGTGAGTGCTCCATCAGGAAGGGAAGGGCTAGGTGAGAAGATAGATGGAACCATGGCAAGGGCTGTGAAAAGGCCCATTTCCCATTGATCTGTGTGTGCAAATCATAAAACTGATCATAGTGTTGTCTTTGAAAGTGTTCAAATGATTAGGAATGAGAAATAAAATATGAGTTCCCACCTTCCTTTCTTCCTTAGTCCTCACTAGCCAGTAGGCATCCCTTGCAAAGCCCCTGTTGTGCCAGGTAACAAGCTTGCTCTGCGAACCTCCAAGTAGAGCATCTCTGACAGAATGCCACTGTCTCCAAAGGCTAATCTCTGGAAGTAGAGTGTGTCTTTTCTCATCAGGATTTATTGACAAATTACCTATGAAGGAAGCCTGATGTATCTGCTAAGGACAGCCAGGGATGTACAGGGGTAGGGGTGGGGGCGCAGAGCCTTTCAGTCCTGGCCCTGCTAGCTCATGGTAGGGGCAGGGAAAGAGCAATCCAAGACACACAGCACACGACATGTAATGTCACTCTTTATTATGGAAATAAACGGGGATCATGAGTGGGGAAAATTCACAGAACAACTGGCTCTTTGGCTGGCTATGTTACCTGGCCTACAAGTTAACTTTGGTTTCTTGGTCAGCCAGGCCTCCAACCCCAGTCATGGATGTGGCCTAACGCTGGTGAAAAGAGAAACAACGATGATGTGGATGAAGACCAAGATGACATCTAAGAGCTCCTTTTATGGGATGTGTTTGAAGGCCTCCTTTGGGATCTTGCCTTCAGCCTAGAGTCAGTGAAAAAAAGGAGTTGGGGCATCAGAAGAGCCAGGTACTCTGAGTTCCATGCCTGCATCTTATTGGCCTTCCTGACAGCCCAGGGACATCCATCTTTTACACACTTGATTCCCAGACCTCACCTGGAACATAGTGAAGACCTGACCAGCTCTGGTGTAGTTCCACTCATTGTCCTGAAGGCACCTAGTGTGGGAGAAGAACAGATGATCTCTATTACTACCCCAGGACAGACACGCTGACCATGCAATGCCACCACTTAACCTATGCTATCTTTGTGCTGGGACACATGCACCAATATGAGCACTACTGTAATAATGACGAAAGACCTAGTGAAAACCAGAACATCTATCACTAACATTCATGCCCACTGGAATTCAAAGCAGAAAAGGAGGGATGTTCAAATAAACAAAGGAGATTAACATATATTGGTAAAGATAGATGTTCAAGAAAATGGCAATGGAAAATTAAAAGTACAAGTTTCTTTTTTATTGAGATATAATGCACATATGATAGCATTCACCATTTTAAAGTATACAATTCAGTGCTTTTAAGGATGTCCACAAGATTGTGCAACCGTCACAACCATCTAATTCCAAAAATACTTTTATCACCTCAAAGAGAAACTTCTTAACTGTTAGAGATCACTCCCTATTCTCTCTCTTTCCCCCAGACCCTGGTAACCACTACTCTGCTTTTGGTCTTTATGGATTTGTCTATTATGAACATTTTGCATAAATGAAATAATAAAATATGTGACCTTTTGTGACTGGCTTCTCTCACTTAGCATAATGTTCTAAGCTTCATTCATATCATAGCATAAAACAGAACCATATTCTTTTTTAATTCTAATTTTTAAAATTTTTTTAAATTTTAGATTCAGGGGGAATAAGTGCATGTTTGTTATATGAACAGATTAGGCAGTTGCGGAGATTGGGCTTCAGGTGGTCGGTCCATTTCCCGGCTAGTAAACATTATACCTAACAGGTGATTTCTGAACCGTTAATTGCTGCATCCTCCTTTTAGTGTCCCCAATATCTATTATTTCTATCTTTGTGGCCACTTAGTGCCCACATATTAGTGAGAATATGCACTGTTTGGTTTTCTGTTTCTGAGTTAGTTCACTCAGGGTGATGTTCTCTAGCTCCATCCATGTTGCTTCAAAGGACATGATTTTATTCTTTTTATGGCTGCACGGCATTCCATGGTGTACATATATATCACATTTTCTTCATTCAGTCAATAATTGATGGGCACTTAGGTTGATTCCGTGATTTTGCTACTGTGAATAGTGCTGCAATGAATTTTATAACTGAGTAACAGTCCAATAATATTTCATAAGAAGGATGTACAACATTAATTTATCCATTCATCCTTTAGGACATTTAAATTGGTTCCACTCTTTGACTAGTATGAATAATGCCACTATCAGCATTTATGTGCAAATTTTTGAATCAACATATATTTTCATTTCTCTTCATATATACTTAGGAGTGAGATTCTAATTCATATGGTATTCCATGTTTAACATTTTTAGGATTTGCCAAATGTTTTTCCCAGCAATCAATAATACATGAGATTTCCAATTTCTCATCTTCACCATCACGTGTGATCTTTTGTCTTATTGCTTAAGGTCATCCTAATGGTGTAAAGTGATAACTCATTGCAATTTTGATTTGCATTTCCCTAATAGCTAATGATGTTGAGAATTTTTCCATGTGTTTGTTGGCAATTTGTGTATCTCCTTTGGAGAAATGTCTAATCAAATCCATTCACCATTTTAAAATTGGTTTGCCTTTTTTATTGTTGAGTTGTAAGGTTTCTTCATATATTCTTGTCAGATATGTGATTTGCAAATATGTTATCTCATTCTATCAACTGATTTTTCACTTTTCTGGAAGTGTCCATTGACGCACAAAAGTTTTTGATTTTGATAAAGACCAATTTGCTTATTATTATTTTTTGGTTGTTTGTGCTTCTGGTTCCATATATAAGAAATGGTTGCCTAATTCATGATAATGAAGATTTACACCTACCTTTTCTTTTAAGAGTTTTATAGGTTTAGCTCTTATTTTTAGATCCTTGATCCATTATTAGTCAATGTTTGCATATGGTGTGAGTTAGGGGTCAAAATTCATTGTTTAGCAAGTGGATATCCACTTGTCCAAGCACCATCTGTTTAACAGGCTATTTTTTTCCACAATGACTCCACTGGATTCTTTTCAGCAACCTAGATGATAATCAGTTAGCCATAAAGGTGAGAGTTTATTTGTGCACTCTTAATTATATTCCATTGATTCCTATATCTTGTCCATAGGCTGGCACCACACAGTGCTACTACTGTAGCTTTGCAGCAAGCTTTGAAATTGGGAATTGAGTTCTCTAAATTTGCTCTTCTCTTTCAAGATTGTTTTGGGTCCAATGCACTTCCACATGAATTTTTGGATTACCTTGACAATTTTTGCAAATAAGCTAGGTGGGATTTTAATAGGGATGATGTTGAATCTGTAGATTGTTCTGAGTAGTATTATCATCTTAACAACATTCAGTCTTCCAATCTATGAACATGAGCTGTCTTTCCATTTATTTAGGTCTTCTTTAATTTTTTTCAGCAATGTTTTGCAGACTTAAAGGTGTAACATTTGTGCTTCTTTTGTTTTATTTTTTCCTAAGTATTTTATTCTTTTTGATGCTATTGTAAATGGATGTGTTTTAATTTCATTTTTGGATTGTTTACTGCAAACTCACAGAAATACAGATGATTTTTGCATATTGTGTCCTGTAACCTTGCTGAACTTGTTCATAGTTCTAGTAGTTTGCTGTGCTGAATTATTTCATCATTTAAGCATTATACTATTTAAAAAATTCTTCACATATATCAGTATAAAAGCATGATACCTTTTTCGTGGGCCCATTTTCATTTGGAGGCAAAATACCCAATTATTTTTGCAAATTGCATGTGGTTTTCCATTTCTCATACCCCCACTGTTCCAACTCCCCCTATTCCCATGTATACCCAGCACTCACTTCTGAGACCACTCAGGTTTCATCCCAGACTGAGTGGAGAAAGCCTTCACCATTTCCTGCTGCTCTGGGGAGAGAGCAGGCTCAGGGCTGAAGGAGGGTGAAGACATTGGTATGGAGAAAGCACTCTGGGTCTCTTTGGGGCCGGCGTTCCTCACAAACAGTTCATCATTCACGATGCACAGACTGGAGGAAAAATGTGTCTTCAAATCACTGGACAGATAGACAACCCAGTGTCCCCAACAATAGAATCCTTCTTAACCACTGCCACTCAACAACCAGATTTCTCCCATATCCCTAGTGCCTGGATCCAGCTTCATTGACTGGTGTCCTCTGATCCTCCTATAGAGTTCATCCTTGGAGAGACTATCTACCATCTTTTCCAGATTTGTAGATTTAACCCCAATGCATTTACCCTTACAACGGCCCAAAGAAATTGATGCTCTCATCCCCATTTTCAGAGGAAGGCACTGAATCACCGAGAGGTCATGTAACTTGATCAAGGTCACACAAGTAGTGAATGTTGGGGTCGGGAAGAAAACTTGTATTCCAACTCCACAGCCCACACTCTTAAATACGAGGGCAGACTGCTCCTTGGATCCAACTGTTGGCTTTCCACAATATTGAGCTTCCCCTGAGGATTTCACCACCACGTTCCCACAATACTGGCCTCCCACCTACATCACAACACTTACCTGGAATTGCTGACAAGAGTAGAGACAAAGGTCCGGGTGAAGGCAAGAACAGAACCCTGAGACATTCCTTCCACTTCAAAGACAAAAAAACAACAATGTGCCCTTAATGCAGTACATGCTTTACAGGCTCACATGGAGTTCCTGAGTCAGAGTCTTATTTAACATTCAGGCTGAAGGAGGCCAAACCCAGACTGGGACAACTGTTCACTTGGAGTCAGGAGGGTGTGACGGGAACAGGAGGGCAACAATAGGAACAATCCCCTCCAGTAATAGGGCTCTTATCATGTGTAAGGCCCTGTGAAAACTGTTCATTTGGTTTTGTTTCACAGTAGCTCAAAAGATGGCAATTATTAACCCCATTTTTGCAAATAAGGAAACTGAAGATTAAGTAAATTGCTCAAGTTCACAGAGTCAGGACCTGAGATGAGAGCTATCAAACTCCACAGCCTGTGACCTTAATGCACGCATGCCTAAGCTGTGTGGGGCAGACAGGTATGGGCACGGACCTAGGTCAGATCACGATAGCTGATGGGTAGAGCAGGGGCAAAAAAACACAGAGGGAAGAATAGGAAAGAAGAGGCATACATCGGGGAAACTGGGAGAGTTCTGAGTGGGAGGCCAGCCAGGGAGGAGGAGCAGTGGAGCATCTGAGGAGGAGACTGTACAGACACTCACCTTCCTTGAACACTCCGTAGATAGAAAAGCAGAGCATTGCTTCCTGAAAGAGAAGAGCTCAGGTGCTCAAGACCCTCCTTAATCTCTTACCCATCTCCAGCTTTCTGGGCCTGCCCAAGGAAGGAAGCAGGTGCTCACCGTCTGGAGCCACATGTCTACCAGGAAGGAGTGGGGATCATGCTGAGTTTTGGGCAACACACTGAGGAAGTCCACAATGTCACTTTTTGTGTATTTTAGCAGCTGTCTCCGCAGGTCTGTAGAAAGGAGCAGTAAAAAAGCTGGTGTCCTTTGATCCTCCTATAGCGTTCATCCTTGGAGAGACTATCTACTATCTTTTCCAGATTTGTAGATTTAACCCCAATGCATTTACCTTTACAATGGCCCAAAGAAATTGATGCTCTCATCCCCATTTTCAGAGGAAGGCACTGAATCACCGAGAGGTCAAGTAACTTAATCAAGGTCACACAAGTAGTGAGTGTTGGGGTCAGGAAGAAAACCTGTATTCCAACTCCACAGCCCACACTCTTAAACCTGAATTCCAACTCCACAGCTGCCACACCCTGCTCCTTGGCCTCTGTGATTGTCCCCTTCATAGCCCCTTCCCCTGCCTAGTCTTCCCCATCACATACTCACAGGGGTCCGTGAGCATTTTGATATTTCTGCTATGTTTGAAGTACTTGCACAAGCTGTTCCTAGGAGAAAAAGAAGAATAGGAGGTGGTGGTCCAGCCAGTGCGGGCATTTCCAAAAGCTACCCTGTGTCTGCTGTGGAGCCACATGGTTCTAGACCAAAGCCTGAGCTGTGATACTCACAGGTCTGGGTCCTCGGGGTTGAGGGAAACGGTCAGGGAGAAGCAGGCCTCGTCGTGGTAAGCACTGAGGAGACACTGTCGATCTCCACAGTCATAGATCGAGTAATACCTGTGGGGGAGAAAAGGGGACAAGCTATCTTTGTGGTCTGAGCCCCAAATGAGACTTGAAAACTCCCATGACCCAACCTGCACTTGGGTGGCTCAGCGTGTCCCAGCCCTCCACTTCTTCCTTGCCTCAGGAATACTTACTGCTGCAGGAATTGCCGAACTAGACTCTTTAGGATCTCACATCCTGTATAGATTTCCTGGAATTAAAAAGCAACTTGGATCTATGCAATACACAAAGTCTCCCTTAAAACATCCCATATCTTGCTTGATATTTCTTCCTTACCTTGCAGGGTTTTATTAACTCAGAACTGATAACTGGCTGTGGTAACTCTTGGCCATCCTGGAGAAGGAAAGAAGAAGTCAGCAGTGAAGACCAGGGAGGTAGAGCTGGATGACCAATGGGATGAACAGGCCCAGGGGGAACAAGCGTCAGAGACCAGATGTGAAATGGTCCTGGAAATTCTAGTCAGTGTTTTCATCATGGGGTGCTGGAAATCTCTACTCTTACATGCTAGCTTGTGTGTGTGTGTATGTGTATGTGTGAGTGTGTGTATGTGCGTTTACAGACATTTTTTTCCCAGGGAGGATAATCTGTGCCCTCTAAAATAGATGAAGCTCTCACGCAAACATGTAATCTAGGCAAGACCTAGAGGGCTTGAGGGCAGGTGCAGAGGTCATGTGTATTATTAATAGGAGACAATGATGACAGTAGGTACTTACCAGGTATAACAACTTGGGGAAATAATCCTTGACGGCACTGTCCAAAACCAAAAATAGAATGAAGTGACTGACAGTTCAGAGTTGTGCAGTCTCTCTCCCTCTGACTCTCCTTCTTTCTGCCCTCCCTCTCTTTTCTCCTGGGAACCTCCTACTTAGACTGCCCTGACTCTCTTCTCCAGAGCCATGAGAAACAGCATTTGGAGCCCAGGTTCCAGGGCTTCCTTCCCCTCCCTGTCTCCCTTACCTTCCTCCAAATGCCCATGGAAGGCTCCACAGGGAGCAGGAAATGGGGCGGGAGCCCGGGGCTCTGCTACCTTACTGGTGTCCACCATTCTGCCAGGTCTGGCTCCTACTAAGACCAGGTCATCTCCCAGGGATGGCACAGGATGCTGGAGCAGGGATGTGAGCAAGGCTGGGCTCAGGAGGAGAGGGGGGACAAGGCCAGTGGGTGATGATAGAAAGGGAGTGAAGGTAGGGGAGGGATAGATGGAGGGTGACACAGAAGAGGAGAGACAAAGGAGAATGAGGAAGCAAAGCAAAGGGGAGGGAGAGATGCTCTACTATGGTGGTGGGGATAAAGGAGGAAGAGAGAAGAAAAGTGATCTCCTGTTGCAGCCCTTTCCTTCACTTGGCCCTGGCTGACTGTGGGGACCAAGGCAGGAATGGTAACATCCACCTGTGGAGCCAGGATCCATGGGAGGCAGGTGGAGCATTTTGTCACCTGTGTAAGCCCAGTCTGAGCTGGACATGGGAAATGGACCAGCCAAGGGAGCAGGAGACATTACCCTAGAAGGGTCAGGCCCTTGCTCAGTGTGGGGACGAGTGTTTGGGGCTCCCTCTTATGACCACCGCATTCTCTCCTGTTGTGATCCCTGCACACCTGTGCCCATCTGAGCTGGTGCCTAGCCTGGGGAATCCTACCTGTTTCTGGCTACCCAGGGCCCCTCTGAAGACCGAGGCAAGATGATGGGAGATGTAAGAGAGGGAGGGGCAGGGCCCTGAGAGACCTAATCTTCTGTCTCCTCAGACTTCTCTACCCTCTGCCTTCCTCTCCAGCCTCAGGAAGCCCTCTGCTCACTGGCAGGGGCCTAGTTCTGGTCCCTCGATTCAGGGAACCCAGGTTTCTCCCCAAGGAGGTCCCGGCTCCTGGGATTGGGCCCAAGGAACAGATAGCCTGACAGCAGCTACCCAAGGCCTCAGCTTTCAGTGTGGGACAGGGAAGCCGCCTTGTCAGCCTGAGACAGATTAGGGGGACTTCTGTGGAGCCAGGGGAAGAGAGACTCTTCAGGACAGGGGAGGGAAGCCCCATATCAGTACAGAGGTAGGAAGGCCTGCCTCAGCATGAGACCCTAGGCTGCAGGACCCTGCTCATTCCAGGGCAGGAGCATCTAGCCCCAGTCTATGCACCCCTGGACCTGATGAGGAGGGGAGCTGTTTCCTGAAGCACTTACATAAAGAGTATGCTGGAGGAGGCTGGGTGCACAGGGGCAGAAAACACACCCCAGAGCAGGTGAAAAGAAGAGCAGGTCAGAGGAAGGAAAGGAGAACTCTAAGCACAGCTGAGGGCACTGAAAAGTAGGTGGGGCCTGTAGTCTTCCTAGAAGACCCAGCTGCCTACTCCTGCACAGGGCACTGTGGGGGCATGGGGGTGGGGGAGACAGCTGAGGATACCAAGAGGCAAAGGTGCCCAGGAAGTGTAACAGAGCCTTACATAGGCCTTACCACTAACCTTACATAGGCGGACTTGTGTGGGAAAGTGCTGCACAAGGGGTTTCCTTCTAGCCACAGCTCTTCGAGCTTCAGCCCTTTCACCTTGCCCAGCTCCCAGGTCGACTTGAGCTGAGAAATAGGGGAGGAAACTCAAAAATAGGCCCAGGGAAAGAGAGACAGCTGGGAGCCTGGGTCCCAGCCCTCAACCTCATCCACAGATTCTTTGCCTGCTTGTTGTCATCACCACAATATGTGTTACCTACTACCCACCCTCCACCCAAACTTGATCTAGGTCCCCCTTCTCACCTCATTTTGGGAGAGATTCAGGATCTTGACTTTGGGGGCCTTTTCTGTAATGTCTGAGAGGCCATCCAGCTGGTACAGTTTGTTGTTACACAAGTTCAAAGACAATAGCTTTTGGGGAAGAAGAGTTAGAGTGACAGCTACTCTCTAGGGCCTAGGATACAAGACCTCCTTCTCATAGTTCCATCTTTTCCAACCCTCTCATGACTAACACCAGGCCTAAGGCCTTACCTCAGAGAAACTCCTTTCAATAATCTGCAGGGTGGCAGCCATGTAGTCTCTTCGATTCAGGATTATATCCATATTATGGCCCACCAAGTCTTCAGGGAACCGAAAGAAAGGAATCAGAACCAGAATGAGGTAAGGTTGGTCCAGCTCCAGCACCAGCCCTGCACCAAGTTGTCATCCACAAATCTCCCTCCCAGGCAGAGTCCTCTGCCTTCATGTGCCACAGAACTGCTGCTATCAGTCATACCTGGGTCAAAGCGCAGTCTCTGGAGGTCAAGAGTTTGCTTGGAGACATTGTATCGTTTGTTCATGGTCAGCTGCAGAGACAGATGAAAAAGGTAGCTCTGAGGCTCTGGTAGCAGTAGTGGTCATCTGGAAATGCAGGGGCTGGGGGAAAAGAGGTAGATCAGGGAAGTGGGCATGCAACTGTCTTCAGTCTGCATTACCTTTAGTTGCTCCATTTGTTCTGGCTTCAACTTATTCTGCATGGAGTAGGGCACAGTAGAAGGGTTGACAAAGATACATATCTGCAGAGAGGAGAGGCAGGGTAAGCATTAGGACCTCTAATCCCAAAGATGAACAGTCCCCTGGCCTGCCCTCCTGCTCAGAGACTAGGTACAGGGAATGTCCTTGACACATACCTTTTGGTTCTCCTCATCACAAATCTTGTAACTTACATCCTTCAATGCGTACGCAGTACTGGCATCCTGGACAAAGAACAGGGCTCGATGTTTGACATAGTGGAACTACAGGAATGTAGGCAAGAGCAATAGTGTCAGAGGCCACTGGCCCCTGCTGAGCCAGACCTCTCCCCCACCCCTAGGTCCACTCATCTGGCTTCGCCATCTTCTCTTACATCGACCGGGGTGAAGGAGACTCTGCAACGGCTCTGGATGGAATTCACTAGCCATGCTTTGTCATACTTTCTCCCATAAGGAACCTAAGGGTAAAAAAAGAAAACTGAAGAGAAGAGAAACAATATGGAATTAAGGGATGGCGAACAGACCCAACCAGATGTCCTTTTCCTGCCTTCAGTCTGGTTTTGACTTCTAAAGCAAAGGTAGCTGATATGATTTATTTTTTCTGCCAATTATTGATTCCTCAAACTCCATTTCTGTCAATTCTGAAGTTCTCCTCCAAATAATCAACTTAGGGTGTTTCATGTAATCTTCCTCTAAAGGTTATACAGTATTCTACCTAATGCAGACCTTGCCAAGACACTCACTGTGACCTTGAACCAGCTCCCTGTAGTATCATCTTCTGTGTTCTCCCTCTTTTCTCTCTCTTGAGGTCTTCCATTTCTCCGTGCAGGAATATGAATTTCATCTTCATTGTACCCTTGTACTCCCCTCCTGCTATGTTGGATGGTGTAAGGAGTGCTGTGGGGAAGGGCAGAGAAGCCAAATGTACATTATTGCTGAGAAAGTCTTCTATACACCCTCCTTTCACTGACTTAGGGGCTACAATTAGGATTACTCAACCGTTATTCCACTTCTAGCAGTCTTCAGTTTTTCAATGAGACCAGAAAAAGAAGATCACAGAGAGAGAAAGACTTGTACACTCCCAGGGCTGCTGCGTACAGACCAGGCTGCCTGGTCACTTACTGTCTTATTTGGGGGTCCTTGTAGACATCCCTCATCTTCATGTTTCCATCATTCTTCTGGTTATGTGAAGGCTGAAGCTCATATGCACCATGTTTATAACAAGGCTTCCTTTTGTCAAAATTACTCTGGAAAGAACTCCCACCTTTCTGTCTTCCTTGAAAAGCACTATCATAGTCACGGCATTCTGAAATTGGGAACAAAAATACAAGTTTTAGACACTTCAATGTACTGTGTCATGGGCTAATTGCATGGGAAGAAAATTGAGAACTAGTCCTCAGGGACTAATCATACAAACTCCAGTATACAAACTCCTCTGCCTGTCCAGATATGAGAGCCTTTGCTCACAGGTAGAAAAGTCAAGGGAAAAATCTTGGAAGTGAATCAACTGTGATGAACTTCTGAAAAAGTTGACCAGGATGTATAGAGAACAGAGATGTGTTTGCTCATGGGTTAGACTAAACACCAACCACACATTAGGAGGCTGTTCTAATCTTGCCTTGTCTCAGGCTTCTCTAATCTACCAAGTACGCCAATATCTGGGAGACCAGCTCCCTCACACTCCCCAAATCCAATCAGTCACCTGTCTGGTTCAGTGGTACTTTTCCTGGTGTTGTACAAGCTTCAATGGCAGGTAGTACTGACATAAGAGCTGTCCCCCTGCCTCCAGCTTTGCCTTCAACAATACTTAGTTTGAAATATCCAAAGCAAACTTTTTCCCGGTCTGAAATGATTTCAGCCAGGAGACAGCTCCTCCCAAACTCAGCCCTTCTATAACCAGGGTCTGAACAATGAGCTGAAATAATAAGCATCAATTACAATTTCCAAATGTTTGGAGGCTTTTCCTATTATCTTTCTGTTACTGATTTCTGTTGTCACTATTATGATCAGAAAACATACTATGTAAAATTTAATTCTTTTAAGTTTGGTGAGGTCTGTTGGATGGCCCAGGCGATAGACTACCTTCGTGAATGCTACAAAACACTTAACAACAACGAAAGCATACTCTGCTGTTGCTGAGTATAGTGCTCTATTTATGTCATTCAGATCCTATCACTGTATTGACCTTCTATATTCTTACTGGTTTTCTGTCTTACAATTCTACCAATTGCTGACAATGAGACCAGAAAAAGAAGACCACTTGCTGAGAAGAGTCTATAGAAGGCCCCGACGACTGTAACTGTGAACTTAGCCATGCAGCAAGATTTGGAAGATATGGAGGCATCTCCGGAAGTAAGCCAGTCTCAGTTCTCTCTTTCATAGGTAGATTCACTATAGGTATTTTATTTTTATCACAGTCAACTGAAACAATGTACCAGCAGATGGTAATCCTAATATTTTGGGGGGAATGTGGGATTAAGGTAATTCGGTAATTATAAACCAAGTTCTTCTTGGGCTCTAGCACTTCAGGTTCTCTAGATTTGTGTGTTCTACATTTTTTACATTCATTACTTTACATTATTTATCTTACTTATGAATAAAAATTCATTCACTGCTGATGTCTTCAAGATCATTAATGATCATGGCCAAGTCTCAGATTAACTCCTCTGGGAGCGGGGGTGGGGTGGGGGAGGTGGTCATTGCTTTCATTGTGTGGCCCAATGTCAGGACAGTCCTACTTCTCACTACTTTGGGAACTTTCCCTGTTGGCACTGGAAATAAAGATAAATGTGGGTAGAGCATGTGACCTAGATATTCCACATGTTTGATGTGGGATGCTCTCTTTCTCTCACACTTTACATCCGAGTGATCAGGATGGATGCATCTTTTCTTGGCTGTACATTAAAAAAAGCATCCAAAATCTGGCCACTTCTTACCCCCTCCACTGCTACCACCCTGGCCAGGTTACCAACATCTATCTTCTGGATTACACTGTCTTTCAATACATCCTTCTGCTTTTACACTTACTCCCTTGCCATCTATTTTCAACACAGCAGGCAGTATTTCTTTTGCAGTGTAAGTCAAATAGTGTCACACCTATTCTCAAAATCCTGTAACAGGAGTTTGAAGTCCATCAAAATGTTTAAAATCCGCAAGTCCATAACAATACTCCAAAGGAAAAACAACAACAACAACAACAACAACAAAAAGGATCCTTATTGGTGACATCTGGTGGATGCCTGAAAACCAACTCATTATCATGAAAGTTTATAAATTTAAAAAGTCAAGTACTAAAGTGAAAATTAAGAGCACAGGGTCAAAGCATGAAGTATAGGAGAAGTCAGAATCATTTCCAAGAACCAACAACACTTCAGAAATAATGTCATGAGGGGATAGTGTAGAAGGGAGCCTGCTAACAACTACAGTTACAACCTCAGGCAAAATCTTGTGCTGGGAATTACACATGAGAGTACACATGTGATCAAGAGTCACAGACGGACCCAATGGGCAGGGACACTGAAGACAAAACCCATATAGACACACATCAACTTACTGAATTCCTGCATCTCAACACAATCTCTGTCTTGCAATTGTGTTGCCAGAATCAAAGATGATCACAAGAGTATTATAAAGCAGCTGATGTCTCTCACCCAGATCACCTAGGTTCCTGCTCAGTCTTCTCAGTGAACTGGCTGATCCTCCCATACAAGGACAGAAGTGAGTATCCTTTAAGACATCATGTGCATTCCTACTGGTGCTTCCTGTGTCATTGTGGAATTCTGCCTACCTCACGGCCCTGCCACTGACTATATGGCAACAGCCTCCATGCTAGGTTAGTGAAAAAATGGGGGAAAAACAAAACCAACACTTGCCCAGTGGCAATGAACATTTGCTCAGTGTTGGGCAGACTCACTAGGTTTCTGTGGACCTCCTGACAGAAATCCTGTGATAATTATGTCTGCAGTCCCTTTTCCAATCATGAGTCTTAGGTTCACAGTTAGGTGTATTTTGCAGGATTTCTCGGTCAAGTAAGTGGCAGGACAGGAATTGTTCCCTCACCTACTGGTCTGCCCCTACACCCTGAGTGCTCTTTCAGCAACTGCACTGGTACTGGTTTTCCCTTAATGATAGGTTTTCAGGTCTCATGAACAGATTTCCGTTAACAGGCCTGGGGTGATGTTTTGTGTTAGTCACCCCATTAGGGTGGAAACCAGGTGTCTTGGACTAGGTGGATATGTCTCTCTTGGACCAGATAGGAGAAATCTGTTTGGGTCACAAGCTTTGCTGTTTAGGAGTTACTTTGTACTGGCAGTGTCTGATATAGAACAGCTGCCTAATTAATATTTGCTAAAGAAATGTATATGATGTAAGTTTGGGATCATCAAAAAAACTATTTTTGAGAATACATCCACTTCAACTATTTCTACCTAACGCTATTATTTATTTATTCTGGATATGTTTTGGCTGCAGAATTGTTTCATAATCTGCTTGCAAAGCTAGCACACATTAAATTTTTCTTTTTTGCAAAATTAAAATTTTTCATTAATGTTCTGTTAGAAACAGAAATAAGTAAATCCCTGTAAACTAATGCTAAAACTGCAGATTTGATGATCTCAGAGAAGGAAGCTTTTATAAACAGTAGTGGCAAAAATAGGAGCAGCTGTCCCCGAATCCAGCAATCCAGCAGACAGAGATTTCTTGGCATCTGGACGTCTGTAGAGGAATGTCCTGGACCTGCAGACGTATTGTGTTCTCACAGCCTTGTGACAGAGAGGAAGAACAGTCCCTAGCTCTAAGAAAGAGAAAAAAGTGTGTGTGTGTGTGTGTGTGTGTGTGTGTGTGTGTGTGTGTGTGTGTGTGTTCATGCAGGCTTGTGTGCGTGCGCTTGTATTAATATTTTGTATTGTGTGTTTTTATGATTAGTTTACACATACATGTACTCCAAATCATGTTGGTAAATGTCTTGCTACACTCACACAACACTGGGACCCAGTGCGCATATTTTTCCTGGTCAAATTTTGTTTATTGTTCTGAATATGCTTTTTCATGTTTTTCTTCTTCTTATCTTGGTGTTTTAATATTTGAAATGATCATTTTAAATTAAGAAAGTAATAGAATTCTCTATACAAGTGGAACAATGCTCATGAATTGACCAGGGTTACAGAGCACCGCCAGAGGCATAGGCCACAAAACCCAGAGGAGCACAACTTCGTCTTCAGAGTGGCTCCAAGATACTGAGTCCCGGCTCTACAGTTTCCCAGGAGAAGCATATGACTTTTGTATTTTTTTTTAACATAACAGTTATTTTCCTGAGAATATTTAATGATAGTTACCCTGATGTACATTTCCACCAAGTGTATGTGTATGTAACTTTCTACCATAAGCTTAACTTCAAAAGGCATTCTTACCCTTTGATCCAGACATTCTGCTTTCTCAATTTATCACAAAATATTTTTCATCTAAATATATACACATGGCTGTGCTTTACAGCCTCTTTGGAACCAAAGGATGATGGGATCAAGGAGTGGATGTTATTGTCAGGAGTGGGGATAGCAATGATTTGTCTTTGGAGTCAAGTACAGATGGGAAAGAAGGAATGTGAGTACCTGATATACTGAGTGAGGAGGCCAAGGAATGGATGTGTGGGTCAGAAAAGCAGGGGTGAGTATTGGGAAGGGAGTGAAACACACATTGAAAAAGCTTCTGAGGAGATGAATTCATCCTGGTAATACGCTCCCCTCTGGAAACCTTCTTTTCTTTCCTTGTATATCTTGTCTGTCTCTGTTACTGCACTGTCAAGTTCAACACCAGTGGAACAGTTTCCACACAGTCTGAGAAAGGAGAGATGTTGCAGGGTAACAATGTGCCATGATGGGTCTCTTGGACAGAAGGCTAGAGGCATGGAGATTGGTTCCAGATACCATACCCATCACTGCCCGACAGACTGGGAATAAGTCCTATTCCATTGTTCATTCCAGCCTAACACACAGTCACACATTACTGGTTATGGGCATAGGATTTGAAGTCAGCTCTATCAGAATTTGAATCCTAATGCTAAATTATATGGCCCATTGCAAGTAACGTTGACCTCACAGTAACTCATGTTCCTCTTTGTTTTTCCTTCTAGATCAAGAATGGCAATAGTTCCTACCTCATGGGGTCATTGTAAACATTAAGTGAGTGATCATATGAAAATATATTACAAGGCCCTGAACAAATGCCTGTGACCTAATAAGCACTCTAAATAAATTAAATATTAACCAGGTCAAGTATTCAGTACAACACTTGACTTTGAGCGAGGAAAGGA